TAGTGCATGGATAGGGTTATTCCACCCAAAATATGGTGAATGCTGGAGGCATTTCAGGGACTAAGGGGAGTAAGAGGAGACGATTGTCAAGGGGGTTGGAGCTGTTTGTGAGAGAAAGGCATAAAACCAGAATACAAATGCATAAATTCCCCAGTACAGGAGAGTGTGCTGGAGAAGTATTGCTATATGCTTATGTGTGGTTTTTACTCTTTTTTTTTTTTTTTTTTAAGTAAATTATAATGATCACTTTGTAAACAATATACTTCGCAAATGATATATGGGTTTCTCAGAGCCTTTGGTCAACCCAGCACAGCCATTATTCTGTTATGCAAGAAGATAGACTTCAGTATCTTCTGCTAACATACCAACTAGTTCTTTTGTAACCATCTACTGGTGATTTTTAAAATAATTCCTTCTTTTCCAGTATTGTGCTTCTCTTGCTAGAACTGTACAGTAACAAACATGAAACGACAAAAAAAGATTGTTAACCAGTATTCCATGTATTATCTTATGAACTGAACAGTGCTCATTCCCAAACACAGTAGTATGTTTGAACTGGAAGATAACCTAGAAATATTTGTATTTTACCAGTATTGCATCTTATCTTGCATATTTCTGTGATATTCAAATATCATAGTTGATTTTATTTGCATAATGCATTGTCTGTCTTAAAAAGTAGAGTTTCCCAATTACTATTTTCTTGCAGAATGAACTCCATCTTCATAAGAGTATTTTGTCACCTCCCTTTATTGTCACATGGATTGTTTCCCTCTTGTGACTTCAAAATCGACACTTCCATGCACCCTTTCACAAAATGTGATGTGGCAACTCTGGCAGTCACATGTATGTAAAATACTTGGAGGCATAATTGAGCCTTATGCATTCTAAACTTTGATTATATAGTCAAAATCAGAAAAGTTGATCAGTTAAAATATTTGCATTAGGATTCCTGCTTTACCTTCCCCAAAAGCCCACGTGCTCATAGAAAACACAAGTAACAGCAGATCAGGCTTTTCCTATTAAATGGATGTTATTTAGTATCTGACCGAAGTGTGCTTCTGTTTGAAATAACTCATTCCAGTATACTGCTGAGCTGTTCTTGTATACTCCGCTCATAGGTATTTCTCTTGGATTATTTGGTCTCTGCTGATTTAAGAATCATTTTATCTCCTGCAAGAAAATTTCTCTGTAGTTCTGGGGTAACTCAGATTGTGTTATATGAAGCATGTAGGGTTTTTTTAAGAAAATGCTACAACCTTTCTAAGAAGTAGTTATTAGCATGGTCTGACATTTAAAGACAATTTTTTAAAAGTTGATTGTGTGTCAGAGTAGAAAACATAATACTTGTGAGATAGGTTATGGACCTAAGCACCTTGAGAATATCCTTTTCAGGGGAAAAAAAACCCTCTACTTATATAGCTAAAACCATGTAAGGCCAAACCTATAAAGCTTAAAAGGAAAAAATATTGCAACACTTCCAACACAGTTCGTTTTCTGGAGAAGTAGGATGTACTTAAATTCTCATGTTAAGGAAAATAAAACTTGAAAGATCAGAGACTGTCTATTTTTGTTTGTGTTTTCTTGTTGCTTTTTCTTTTACTATGATAAATTTATAAATTTGGATTTTTATAGGCAATTGGAACCTGAAAAGTCAACTTCTGTTTTTGGCCCACAAAAGATTATGAAATTAATTACTTTCTCAGGAAGACTGAACTTCATTGCCAAGTATGTCTTATTCTTCACAGCATCTTAGGATATTTAGTGCTAAGAGAACCTTCTTGCACTTGGCTGGCTTCTCCCCTTTGTACCGGCGCACAGCTGCCTGTACTCTTGTCTCCCTCCTCCTCTACACAAGCTAACCTCAGCAGATTTTCACAAGGTATTGCTGATGATCATCTTCACTCAGAGAACTTTGCCTTTTCCTGATTCAGGTCTCTTACTCATACTCTGATCCAGATAATCTGGAGCTGCAAATGGCAAGATGATCATTTATACAATAAATAGATATTAAGGGAAAATGTAATTCCACATCATTCGAGAATTCTCCTGCCTTGATGTCCATGTCCAGCTTTTGGATGCTTGGAAGTTTAATGCTCTGTTCTTTTTCTTCACTCCAGATTTACCATTGAGCTGTTCTTTGGGTTGACTTGGTTGCTTTGACTTTTTTAGTAAAATCACCTGGATAAAGACAACATGCATCTGAGTTATCAGATAAAATGGTGTGTTTGTAACAAGTGAAAGTAGCTCTGCCTGAAAATACACCTTCTGTTTTTCCGAGTCACTGAAGCATGTTCCTGTTCCCTACGATACCTCCCCAGGGACCCCGTGGGAGGTCTGTGTGTTACTCTGGTAGCATAGGGTGTATGTAGCATGTGAGCCAGCCCTGAGAAGGCACTGGTAAATAACCTAGGTCTTTGTTAAATTGGGATTTTTACACAGCTGCTGAAAAGTGATTTTCATAGTCAAACTGAGAAGAGTACATCAGAATACAGGCATGGTATGGCTGATCAACGATTCATCTGGAAGGCTGTGAGCAAGTACCCACATTCATGATTTGTTCCAAGATCTGTTTCTCGCTGGCTGTAGATATACTTGATCTTTTTGGGGTGTTTTAATTCATGAAGAGGAGTGAGGACATGACAACAGATATGCATCATCTTTAAAAAGGAAAAAAACCAAACCAACCTCCTTTTTTAAGAAAAGCCTAATTGTATAATTTGGGAATAATGAACAAATGAAGAGTCTTTCCACGCATTTGAGTTACATTGCTAACTAGAATTTCAGTAAGAATATGTATGGTACTGTAATATGGATTTTAAAACGAGCTAAAGTATAATTGGCTTTTGTCTGCAAGCATAAGCTCATCCCAGATGATTCAAAGAAGAGTCGATTCTGAAGTGTGATAAATGTTTCCTAGTCTTTATAGCTCAGCAGTGCAATGTTTTCTTTTGGCCTGACTGCACATGAGGGCATATTCAAGTTAGAATCATACAACTGTAGAACAGCTCAGGTTGGAACGGACCTGGAAAGATCATCTGGTCCAACCTTTGTGGGAAAGGGAGTCTAGATGAGATTAGCACCCTTTTTCAGTCACATCTTGAAAACCTCCCGCAATGGGGACTCTACCACATCCTTGGGGAGGTTCTGGCGATTGATTGTTCTCACTGTAAAAAATGTCTGTCATATCAAGATGAAACCTCCCGGTGCAACTTGTACCTGTTGCCCCCTTGTCTTCTCCATGTGGCGCCAAGTTACTTTTTGATTTCTGGTTGCTCTTGTTCTGTTTGGCAGAAGAGTGCATGCACTAGCATTGGCAAGTAGTTTTTACCATGCTGGTTGCATAAATATTTGCACACCACATTATATATCCATTTTTCTCTAAAGATACTTAAAAAAATAACTAGAAGGGGTTTAAGCAAACTTTCTTTCTGTTCATCTTGACCACCATTTTTACATTATAGTACAAATATTGAAAATACAGCTTTATGAAACAAGTCGCTGTTCAGATGCAAACTGCTTATGTATCTGGAGAACACACAAAAAAGTTCTGTGTCTCTCATGTTGCTTTCTGAACAGCTGCCACAGTAAATCTTGCATTTGGTATAATGAGTTGTAATGTTTAGTTATTCTAAAGGTACAATACAATAACAGATTATTGTTCATAACTGTGTAATAATTGAAACTCCCTGATCATACTTTCCATTTTACACATTGTCAGAACTTTGGACCTTAATCTCACTC